TTCATGGACATTGTTTACTCTAGGAGTTGGGGTTCTTGTCGCAGAGAATAAGGAAGTATTATCAGTTGAAGTTTGGCTCGATGGTGGACTATTATGAACATCATTGCCACAAAGAGAGTTTGCTGATCGTCAACCTGAGCACTGCCACCATGGGGAGTTTGATTAAGAAAATTAGTCATTTTTAGACCATAAAACAATAAACCTACCAAATTAAAGATGAATGAGAGAACCCTTGCGTGACTGCGTGTGCAATTGACTTAAAATTCAAAATATTATCAGAACTAGATTGACATAGATATAATAAACTATTATAGCACGATTATAGCACAAAATATTGAAAATTAATAACATACAACATATAAAATCATATGTGTTGTAATTATGAGAAACACTAATTATAGAAAACAGCAAATGAAATATGGAAAACTAATACCTTTTTTAAACCCAAATAAGCCTTTCTGAATTTTTTTATATAATATCTTTGTACAAAATCCCAAAATTTTTCATAGATGACTTCATGCACAATTAAAAAAAAAAAAAAAAAATCAGAAAACAGTTCTTACAGTAAAAAAAGGTCTTTATACACAATCCCAAAAATATCATAAAACTGTTATTATTGCGTACCATGAAATTGCTGGTGCACTTAGAATTAAAACCCCGAGACTGTTAGTAGATAGAATGAAGTATTAGTAGTTGAAGTTTGGCTTGGTGGTGGACTATCATGAACGTCACTACCACCAGAGGGAGTTTGTGGTCATCAACTTGACCATTGCCACCAGGTTGAGTTTGATTCAGAAATTTAGTCATTATAGATCATAAAACAATGAACCTACCAAATCAAAAATATGAGAGAACCCTAGTGTGATTGCGTATGCAATTGACTTAAAATTCAAAATATTATTAGAATTAAGTTGACTTAGATATAATATACTATTATAGCACGAAATATGGAAAACTAATAACTAACAATAACCTGCATCGAGCACAAGCAATATGCGGGCCGGGCTAGGCCCACCAACAAGTGCCAGTCGGATTGACCCGCCCCTTCTGTGAAAGGGCCAACCTGACCCACAAAAAAGAAAAAAGAAAATTAAGGAACTTGACTGGGCCCGACGAGTTTAAAATAAAAATTATAATAAACCCTCAAGCCCTGCCTAGGCAGACCCGACCTGCTCGCACGGTTGGGGATAGCTAGGCCGAGCCCAGGTTTAGTCGGGTCGGGTTCGGGCCGACTCGCCTAACCCATCCCATTTTTTCCATGTCTAGATATGATTTTCCTATTTGACTTTACGACCCCATTCTGCTAGTGTGGTGATATCATCCAATAAAACAAAATGATGTATTATTAGTTTTCAAAACCATCTATCAAGGAAGTGATTATTGATGAATAATCAATGTTGGTTATTGATTAATCATGGCGACAGTTGGATGAATGAGAATAGTGAGCATTTATATGGTAACACACCACATCACCAAAGTCTGATAGTGTGACCATCTCAAATAAGTTTTTCAAATGATATAGTTGTCAAAAACTGTATTTAAATTCTATATTAAATCGAAGAAATTTAGTAGGCTTAAATAACATCGCTCATAAGGAAAACGCATATTAGTTTAATGTGCAAGGTTAGTAATTTCTAGGACTAAGTCTCGGCCTTATTGAGATAACTATCACCTCCAACTCAAGCCCCAACCTCTGATTTTTTTGTATCTCAAATTTCTTAGAAAATAATGTGTTATCTTAGGTGAAATTTTCATATCATGTAACAAATTGTATTTTGTAACTTATCAAATATGAGCTAATTGTTTAAAATTATCGTATGGTCATTGAGTAGAAAATAAAATTTTCTAGTATATAGTATGATATATCTATTTAGAATAAGTAATTTTTCCTATTAACATAAACTCTCTCGTACTAATTTAAAGATCGATTTCGTATGACTTATGTGAATAGAGATTATAATTTTCAATTTTAAATATTTTATATTAAATTTTTTTTTTTAAACATATTTTCAGATATTTAAAGTATTGGAATATATTAAGATTTTTTTTTTCAAAATATATTTAGATGATTAATCCTTCTTAAAAAAAAATAGAAATGCAAAGTAGGAGGGTAAAGTCGTCAATTCCCGATAAAATTGAATGCGCGGCGGTGTCAGTTAAAATCTAAAGGCAGAGAATGTGATGCTCCAGTGGCTATATGCCTATATCTCGCCTTTCTCTCACTGTAAAGCCAGCAAAACGACGCCGTCGTTTCAGTTGCGTTTAGTCGAAGCCAAACACGGAGACAGAGAAGGCACAAGAATATGAGTTCAGTCAAAGGAGTAATCTTCGACGAATCGGTGCTGCTACTCTCCGCTGCTCCAAATGCAAACGACTCGGCGTTTCGGCTGCGATCGGGAGCCTACTCTTTGCTTCGTAAGCTCCGTCAATCGAAAATCCGTACGGTACCATTTCATCTCATATCATCTCTTTCCCTCTCTCTTTGTTTTGAATTTGTTGTTAGAAATGAGTTGAATTTTGACATTTACGTTTCGCATTGTTTTTCGCAGGGAGTTTCGTATGGTCTCGGCCTTTCGTCTGATAAGGTAATTCTTGCTTTTATATTTTTTCTATATGCTTTAAAGTAGGTAATAAGAGTTCTCTATTATGTTAATTTTATAGTGTGTGCGTGTTTGGATGAAATGGATGAAGTGTTTGTCTTCCTCGAAAATTTACTGGGAGTTTTTATTCAAGGAGATTTGATAGGTGAATCTTTAAAAGAAAAAAGCACTTTCTGCATAAGAGCAGCACCTATAAGTGCTTTTTTGGAAAGCACTTGGAGGTTATTTCTAGACAAGTTCTCTCAATCGCATGCATATTTTAGCGCTTTTGACGTAATGGAAAATGCATGTAGCATATTCTTCTCTAAAAAGTGATTTTTAAGTAAACTGAAGTAATAAAAGTGTTGATCAAATATATTCTTTTCAAAAGAAGGATTTTAAGTGATTTTATCAAAGGAGCTCTCTACAATGGCACATTCAAATTGTTGTTGTATAGCTTATTTTGTTTAGAAGAGTGTCTGATATGCTTATATTTCGGACAATGGTGTTATTTTTTGTGTTGACTGTAGCTATTGATCTCGTTCTTATAGCTAAGAATTTAGTGAAGGCATGGAACTTTAACCCTTATAATGCATTGACTGCTGTATTTAGTTTGAATTGTCTTGCGTGGCCGCTTAAATCACAGCTAAGATGTTTGAGTTATTTGATACTGAATACATTTTTCACTTCAGATATTAATTTTTTCTTGTCTAACCAACTGCATTTTTAGAAATACTTACTATATATGTATTGTTGCATCTGCTTGATATAGTGTATGCATTGAAGAGGATTGCTACGGAATACTTGTGTGATTGCTTTCTTTTGGATGCATCTATAGATGGTGCTGTAAATATAAATGAGCGTGGGTGACATGGAGGAAGTATTTTGTATGTTTTTTCTGAATAAGGATGCTTCATAAACTTAGTCCCTTGGCTGATTATTGTCTTGGGTGAGTACTGCTGAACCTATAATCTCCCGTGAGCGGATAATGTGAGTCTTGTTGAAAGTATTTGATAATCTACTAGTGTCTTGCGTATAACAGAGACACCTTGCTGTATAATGGTTGCATCTGAAAATATGATCTTGTAAAGTATTTGATTGGAGAGATTAAGGCTAGTGTATTTGATGGCGTCTTCTGTCTACATAAAATGCATATGAATCTATTGTCTAAATTCATTGTTACCAACTTATTGTTGCATTAGTACTAGTTGGTGGAATAATATGCGGTAAGTTGCTTCAAACTTTGGGACTTAATACTGTGTTCTACATCTAGATTATGCTCATTAGTTACAGAAAATGCTTGATAAGTTTGCTTGTTTTTGCTACTGAATTTGGTAAATTGGTTTTTGAAACTGGATTCTGCTCTCTCTCTCAGGTGTCAAAAGTGAAAGTGTGTCTGATAATTCGAGCATGCTTTATATTACAAGCTAGAAAGTTGCCTATGACCATTTGCAAGTTGAACAAAAGGTTGCCTAAAGTGATTCGCCCTTTCAATGTTCTTGTTCATGATTACCATTTGTTCTTTACTTTATTTTTGGGTTCAAAAGCTATATGCTAGGAATACAATCGAAAACTGAAAACTGTTAGGAGTAGTCATTTCAGGGAATTGTGGGAAGGTGTGAGTAATAACCTGTAGATCTTACATATACAAGATACAGTAATAAGTGATTTCTTTGAGATAAAAGTCAAATGCAAGGATAGACTCTGAAATTTCAACCTTAAATGTACGACTTCATATTTACCTATGGTGTTCATTCCATGACTCGTTTCATGTCTCACATTTGAAGTAGGCAGCTGGCAAAAATGCTGATAGTTGGTTATGTCATGAAGCCTGCACGTGAAGAGATTTTGCCAAGGTGAGCCCTTTTTATAAAGTGAGAGTACCATGTTAGAAAGGAGTTAAGGAAGCTAAAGAAGTAATAAAAATGGATGGTCTTGTACAACCATGATTGCATAAGTCAATATGTAACTGTTGATACTCTTCAATTGAATGTTCTACATTGAATTGAAAGTGACTCATTCTGGTTCCTAAATCCGAAAATTAGATGTGGCTAACAGAACAACTAAGAACAATTCAACTAAATTTGAGAGAGAGTTTTTTTGTGTAGGAAGATTTAGTCATATGCAGTGATCTTAATTGGTCTGAAATGTTATTCTTCAGGTAAATAGAATGATTTAATTGATTTTTTGGCCCAAGCAACTATTTAGTTTGCCTAACAGTAGTTGGTTATAAGCTTAAATTTCTATCTTACCAATGATGAGATTGTGGGAATTTCTGTTGTTTTATTCTTTACTCATCCAAAGAAAACACTATATTTGAAGCTTATTTTGGTCCCATCTTTCGTAGAGGGGTGCATTTCCTATGAATCCACTCCAAATGGCTTGATATTTGTGCCTCTGACATTTGATACATCTCTATCATCTCAATTACAAGTAGTTGATGTGGTTCTCCATAAAGCAACAGATGAAATCATGTCCATCGAATTGGGAAGCAATTCAGAATCTTCCAACGGAGTCACATACACCTCAGGCATGCAGGAGCTGCAAAGGTAACTTCTAAATGGAATTACATATACCATGTATCTCTTATGAGCTCCATTAGATGTTTGGATAGAATTTGTTGTCTATTGTTGTTTCTTTGTACAGTTGACATTTGTTTACAAACTTCGTATAACATGTCAAGTAAAATGTTTTCAGTATTTGTAAATTTTCAGATTAATGCTAGAGTTAGATCTTTCCTAATTAGTATTACCACTCTTACAGGTTTATGGAGCATCACTCTAATTTCTTTGCAATTGACCCCCTTGATAATATATACCCAGTATTGGATCGGCTGAAAATCCAGCTGGTTCTGCTTGGACTGCAAGATCTCAATGCAGAAGGCCACCTTACAATCAGGGGGGCCCATTTTCTTAAGGTCATCTTTTTTTCTACAATAGCATCTTTTTTCTACTTGTTGCCGATCTTATGAAGCACTAGAACTAAGCCAGATAATTATCTTGCTGATATTTTATATCTAAGGGTCCGTTTGGTACCTTATTTTGACACTTTTTAGAATAGTATTTGGGAAAAAGTGAGTTGAGTAGTATTTAATAGAATAGGATTGGAATTTGAAAATATGTTTGGTAAATTTTTGGAACACATTTGCTGAAAATATTTAGATTATTTTTTAACTCCCTACATTTGTTAATTTAGCTAAACACCCCCTTACAATAAAGTTTATAAATTAACAAAAACACTCCCACCACCCAATAATTGCTGGCAACCGGCCACCACCGTTGGACGGTGGTCGGAAGTTGCCGGAATGGCGCACGACGGCTGGATCTGGCCGGTCGTGCGCCAATCTAGCATTTTCCAGCCAGATCTACAGTTAAAGATCTGGCCGTTGATGACGGCCATATCTTGGCCGCCGTTTGGCCGTCAACTGCCAGATCTTTGGCTAGAAAAGGCCAGATCGGCACACGACTGACCAAATTCGGCCGGTCGTGCGTCGTTGCGATGGCTGTTGGTAGGTGATAGTGGCTTGGGTGGGTGAGGGTGTTTTTGTTAATTTTAAAACTTTTATTGAGATAGGTAATTGTTAATGTTTTGAATTGAGTAAAATAAGATTGAATTTTGAGAATATTAAAACAAATGCATTTTTGGGTTTTTAGGATAGGATATTAGGAAAGTAGTGTGCCAAACAGAGCCTAAAATTTTTTCTTTTCCAATTGACAACAGTTAGATAAAATTATGTTTTATACAAGATTTATACCATTATGTAAACCTTATTGTAACAGAAATTTAGATTGATGGATATTGCTATCTTTATCACTAAATATACATGGGTCAAATGAAACGAATCTTAATCACTGTACCATTCTTATTGACAGCATTAGCTTATATGAGGAGTTTTTATTTTTTTTCTTTAGTTCCGATAAACAATGGGCTGCTTTGCATCTTATTATGGGTGATAAAATCTGTGGTCTATAGTGGGGCTAACTGATGCTATAACACTGGAGACTATGATGATCTTTGTCAAAAACTGGTATTNTAAATGGAATTACATATATCATGTATCTCTTATGAGCTCCATTAGATGTATGGAAATAATTTGCTTGTCTATTGTTGTTTCTTTGTATAGTTGACATTTGTTTACAAACTTCGTATAACATGTCAAGTAAAATGTTTTCAGTATTTGTAAATTTTCAGATTAATGCTAGAGTTAGATCTTTCCTAATTAGTATTACCACTCTTACAGGTTTATGGAGCATCACTCTAATTTCTTTGCAATTGACCCTCTTGATAATTTATACCCAATATTGGATCGGCTGAAAATCCAGCTGGTTCTGCTTGGACTGCAAGATCTCAATGCAGAAGGCTGCCTTACAATCAGGGGGGCCCATTTTCTTAAGGTCATCTTTTTTCTACTTGTTGCCGATCTTATGAAGCACTAGAACTAATCAAGATAATTATCTTGCTGATGTTTTATATCTAAGGGTCCGTTTGGTACATTATTTTGACATTTTTTAGAATAGTATTTGGGAAAAAGTGAGTTGAGTAGTATTTAATAGAATAGGATTGGAATTTGAAAATGTGTTTGGTAAATTTTTGGAACACATTTGTTGAAAATATTTAGATTACTTTTTAACCCCCTACATTTGTTAATTTAGCTAAACACCCCCTTACAATAAAAATTTATAAATTAACAAAAACACTCCCACCACCCAATAATTGTTGGCAACCGGCCACCACCATCGGACGGTGGTCGGAAGTCGCTGGAATGGCGCACGACGGCTGGATCTGATCGGTCATGCACCAATCTAGCCTTTTTCGGCCAGATCTACCGTTAAAGATCTGGCTGTTGACGACGGCCATATCTTGGCTGCCGTTTGGCCGTCAACTGCCAGATCTTTGGCTGGAAAAGGCCAGATCGGCACACAACTGACCAAATTCGGTCGATCGTGCGTCGTTCCGATGGCTGTTGGCAGGTGATAGTGGCTTGGGTGGGTGAGGGTGTTTTTGTTAATTTTAAAACTTTTATTGAGATAAGTAATTGTTAATGTTTTGAGTTGAGTAAATAGGATTGAATTTTGAGAATATTAAAACAAATGCATTTTTGGGTTTTGAGGATAGGATAGTGGGAAAGTAGTGTGCCAAACGGAGCCTGAAATTTTTTCTTTTCCAATTGACAACAATTAGATAAAATTATGTTTTATACGAGATTTATACCATTATGTAAACCTTATTGTAACAGAAATTTAGATTGATGGATATTGCTATCTTTATCACTAAATATACATGGGTCAAATGAAACGAATCTTAATCACTGTATCATTCTTATTGACAGCATTAGCTTATACGAGGAGTCTTTATTTTTTTTTCTTTAGTTCCGATAAACACTGGGCTGCTTTGCATCTTATTATGGGGGATAAAATCTGTGGTCTATAGTGGGGCTAACTGATGCTCTAACACTGGAGACTATGATGATCTTTGTCGAAAACTAGTATTTATTATTTGCATGGATTTTGTGACAAGGTTACCATAAAAGATAGTGAAAGTTATAACAAACAGAAAAGGAGATGTAATATAAGAAGGATAACTTTGATAGTTGTTATTTTCTTTCTTTCTAGTGTATAGTTCCATAAATACTCAGACTTTGTAATCGCAACTTTATAACTCATGGCTTCGTTTAGGCATAAATTCTCTAGTTTTGATTAATATCTCCTCAGAGCTAGTTACATCTAAAGCTTCAATACGCAGGTCAATGATTTTAATGAATCTGATTTGGCACAAAGACTACCAGAAGCTAAATTATCTTTTCCATGTATAGTGAAACCTCAAGTTGCCTGTGGTGTGGCTGATGCTCATAGTATGGTAAATATACATTTATTTTCATTCTTGCTTTTCCCCTTCTTGAATTCGTTTTAGTGTTATTGACTTGTATTTTCATCAATGCGCAATAGTACACTATTTGTTGATTTTTGTTCTGCCAACTGTCATTCCATAAAGAAACTACTATGAAGCTAATTTTTTCAAGTAGGTAAATTACTGTATTGCCCTTTTTTCTTGTGCTAGCGTCCTAGGCAATTGACAAGGTCTATCAAATTGGTCTCAACTATGCATTCTTATAAGAATCTTTCACTTGGAAGTTTTCTTGGTTAAATATGCACAACTATTAAGGGTTCTTTTTCCATTTACCTTTTCTTTTCACTTTCTTTTTCTACTTTAAAAAGTTTGAATCTTGGAATTGCAGGCAACTGTCTTTGAAATAGAAGATTTTAAGCATTTGAGNAGCTTTTCAGATTTGATGGAAAAAAGTAAGCAAAAAGAAATTTATCAGCCAAAGATTTCTCTTATATTCCTTTTTGAATGTTGAATTTGATAAACATAAAACTCTGCTATTTTCCTTGTGTTTTAGAATAGAGTAACTCTAAATTAGATCCAAAATATGTTATTTATATGGGCTGCGAGTTTGTTTCAAGATTGTTTATATGTTATTTGCTGATTATGATCAGAGTTCTTGTATTTGTCTGCTTCATTGAAATATATAAGATTCATGCTTATTTGGGGATTTGGTTTCAATGCCTTTCACCAGAGCACAATGTTTACTTGGAGAATTTGTCTATATGCAGGTCTTTATGATTACGAGCTCCATTGTTTTGTTGGTCTGGTTCTTGGATTCGGAGAAAATCTGCATAGTTTGAAGCGACTGTACATCTCAGATTTGTGGTAATTTCTAGGAGATTTAAAGAATGTTCTTTTTGAGCTTTTGCATTTCCTAATCATCTGTATTAGCTAGCTGTTTTAATCTAGAATTGATAAGATGTGTAAAGCTAGTTAAATGATTGCCTTTTGAAACACCCAGTTCAAATTGACATGTTTTGATTCACCAGTAAATAAAACTCTTTTGGTATCATTATCAAAACTGAAATATGAAAGAAATTCTTTATGGGTATTCAAAACCTGACAATTTTCATGAAACACTAATTATAACAAATAGCAAAGGATATATGGGAAAAGAAATAAATATCTCAAAACTAATGGAGGAGAGGTTTGTTTTTATCAGAATGTGAGGAAGTTCTATCTTTATTCTTCAAAGTTGGGAAGCTCCAAGCGCTTTATTAGAAGGGGTTCTAGATAAACATTTCCTTACATAAACATTTTTGTAGCCTCAGAAAATAATTTCCTGTCTTGACTGGTCAAAGAACTGATCCCAATCATAAAATTGTTGGTATTATCGTGTGTTGGACCTATATGGTTACAAACTACAACACAAAATTGTACAACTCCTGAGAATTGCTCGATTACATTATAAACGTTATTGGAGGGGGACAGGGAGGCTTCATCATCAGTAATATTGGTGTTTTAACAACAAATCAATGGCCATGAATTGACTTTGATGAAACTCAATCAGACTCGATCAGACTTTCTTCTCTCAATGCTCAATCCTCATGAGACACCACAGCAAATGCTTGAAACGTTCACTCTTCTTGCCAAGTCATTTTGTGCACCAGACATGACCCCATTGATCTGATTTTGCCTGAGCCAGAGATAATCAGGCCTCCAAATCTTCTTCTTTACTTTATCTTGCTCATGATATCTCTCCCGCTTTTCTTCTCTCTGGCGCTTCTTCGTTAATTGATCGTACATAGCTTTCTCTTCTGCTCTGCCTTAAGCTTTCAATTCTTCATCTGCAAAACCACCAAGCGAATATGTAAATAATAAATAGGTAATTGTGAAACAAGATTCAATAGTAGACGGGAAAATATTAGTTGTGACAAGGTTTGGGCTATTGTATTAATGACAAATAAATATAAAGCACAGGTCGAGAATGCTGAAAACATACCTCATGAATTAAAAGACAGTTAAACCAGCAGAAAGCAAATTGAAGAAACTCAAGTCCCTGCTATCCAATGTTTCTTCAAACAGGTTCTGGCTCAGCAATAGACAAGTTAAATAGGAGAGAGAAAACTGTATTTGAAGAAAAAAACACCAAGTATTGTACACACGAACATACACACACACAAGTACCCAAGAAAACTGAGAAAATGATTAATGCAGCTTGGTGTAAGGAGCATGCTGTGCTGAGCTCCATCCAACACAAAAAAACTTAACCAAACATCCGAGAAAGCTATTTTGGTAGCATTCAAATTATTTCTTTCTAATTGAAGCCCTTAAATTTATTACAGAAATTACCCTCTTATGTTTTTATAATAATATTTGAAAAAAATTTAAAAGAAAATGAATATTTGAATACTTATGTTATTATAAACCTAAACAATAAGACATATCATTAAGAACAACTGAATAGGTGAGCGGGAGGGAGAGAGGGCGACGCAGTAGCTTCTTTTGTGTCAAAAAGAGCTAGGGACAGGTATTTCAGAAGCCACCATAGTATTCATCAGGAAGTCCCAAAGGACCACCAACCAAATCACTGTAATAGTAAAATTTGACAACTATTTGGCAGATTTAATTTACTTGCAAAAGTAAAATGTGACTTGGCTCATTAAAAGTAGCATAATTTAAAAGAAGAAAATGCCAGAAAATGGGTTTACCATCAATCCGCGAGCCAATTCCTTCAGCTTAAACACAAGCAAGCCTTTGGATTCCTGGCTGAGCAAATGTGTAATGATCTTGCATACCATCAAACAATTTTGATAGGTACCAATAGCAATCAGCCCCTATTTCAGAGATTTTTTCGGGTGGTAGATCTGAGATGGACCAATTATTCACACTCCCCTCCAAATATTCCAAAAGGAAAACAAGAAGAAAGGAACAAGATCATTTATCCCCTGAACATACCTACTTGCAGGATGCTGAATAGCCCTGGAAAGAACATAGAATTTGTACACATGACAAAAGGTTCTGATCTGCCAATAAAATGGTGTAAGGAAACAGCAAGTGAAAAAAAATTTCCCACCAAATTATTCAGAATTAGAATTACCAATAACAAAAATTAGGAAAGTAGCATAATCTACTGGCAAATAAGAATTGGAATACACATAATCTGGAAATTAACCAGAATTATGGAAGGAGTTCTCAGGTCACTGTAATATATGTTTGCAAAACTAACAACTGCAGAGAAAGGTGATCCATCTAGCTGTTGTTAAATGATAAATAAGAACCAGAACCATGTTTAAAAGTTAGTCTAATAGTTGACTCTACCAAACTTTTAAGTTTAATTTGCTCATCCTAAATCCCTTGCTGGATTTGATTTCAGAAAAATATATCACATTGAGCTATATAATGTTGAACACCTATCAATTCTGGATCATGCACTTGTCACAACTGCTAGCGCAATGACACTAGTCTACACACATGTCAAGGTAAAGCAATAAGAAAAAACCAATAAAATTTAGGATTCAATTGATTGAATATTCAATAGAAAGTGAGAAGCTCTTCCTTCTGCATTCAGCTCAACTTCAAGCTACTTCAATCATTAAAACACTCTCTCACTTGCACAGATTCCATCATATAAAAGATATGGGTAATTACTATCGATTGAGGAATTCATCAGATGGTTGTTGGTAGATGAGTAGATGACTGAAGCTGATTTTGGTGTTTTCTGGTATGATTGAACTGAAGTAGATTTTGCTGATTATTGTTGATTTGAGGAATGCATCAGTAAAAAAGTATTTTGGTATGATTGAATTGAAGCAGATTTTGCTTCTTCTTTGGTGGTGTTGCTGTTTTGGTGATTAATGCTCATGCTTACTGTTGCAGTGCAAAGGCCATGCATTTTTCTTGGAAAGGGTCAACTTTAAAAATGGTCAGGCTTGTCTCAATTATCTCATCATCCTATAATCAAACTAAATTCCTTCAATGTTGCCTAACGTCTCGCCTAAACGTGGCAAAATCTTTGATAAGTTTCTCTCTTTAAACTGTTGCAAATAGTACCTATTAAGGGGAAAATAAAATGGCCCGAATTTAGCAGAACCAGTTTTAATGGAAGTCTAACAAAATAGCAAACATATATAAAAGGGGCAAAAACAGAAACATAAACCAAATCATTCTAGCTAAGGTATTCTGAGAAATTTAGCAACATATTTCATCACTCTGTTCCAATCAATCCAAGCACAGTAACTTTCTACAATTCAGAGGTGGAGCAGCAAACAACTTTTTACCTGCAGGAAGGAAAAAAAAAAAAAAAAAAAAGAACAGATAAGTGACTTTATAATCCTTCCTAGAGGTGGAACAAATGGGCCGGGTTAGGCAGGTCAACCCTAACCCGGCCTGTAATGAAGAGGGTTTAACCCGGCCCGCCTTAATGGCGAGCCGGGTTGAGCCTATCCCGCCAGCAACCCCCGGGCGGACCGGGTTGCAAAATGGCAACCCGACGGCCCGCGGGTTGCTATTTTGTCCTCTCTGCAGGAGGACCGCCAACCCGGCAGGTTGCATGCGGGTTGGCTGTAGCCAACGGTTGGCCAAAAAATAAATTAAAAAAATGTTAAATTAATTTATTTTTTTAAATTACCCTTTTACCCTTGAAATATAGCCGTTTTATAGCCGTTGGAGGGGTCTTTTTCGTCATTTTCTTTCCCCATTTTTTTTTTCTATAAATTGGCCCTAAACTCTCATATTTTTCTCACAACTCAAATTCTCTCATTCTCTCATATTCTCTATTTTCTAATCTCTATTCTCTCAATTATTCATTTATTCTCTTAATCTTTTTGTTATCAATTTGCTCTTATTTTAATTTTTATTAGTTTTTGCAATTTTCAATTCATATTTCCAATTTTCCAAATTCCAAATTCCAATTTGCATATTCCAATTCTTTTTCTTTAATTTTTATTTCTTCTACATCAATTTTTTTTTCAACTACAATGGATAGATATTTCTCTCCCATCAATTTCAGTGATGAAGAAAACTACTATCCTAGTCCTAGTCCCGCTGATTTTTCTATGAATGCAGGAGATTCAAATAGTCCCGCTGTCCCAATCCCAATCTTAGAATCCGATACACCTCAAAATATGCCGTCGATTCCAACAGCTCCCAGTGGTTCTAGAAGTTGTCCTCGTAATCGTCGTCCTCGTCCAACTCCATCTCAAGTTGAGACGGGTTCATCAACTGCCGTCGAACCCAAAGACAGACACACATTAAACGTTTGGGCGCATTTTGACAAGTTTTACAAGACAGAAAATGGCGTTCAAGTCAGGAAAGCAAGATACAAATATTGTGGAAATGTTTATAAAGCTGATTCAGGTAATGGTACTAGTACTTTAAAAAGGCATGCTAATAAACATATTAATCAACATGGAAATAGAGAAAGCAATCAAACTCAAATAACAAATATGGGTACTACTTGGCGTTACAATTCTGATGTATATAGGGAACAATTAGCTTTATATATTGCTGCAACTGATCAACCTATTAATATGGCTGAAGATAAATATTTTGAAAGATTTGTTCAAAATTCATTTTTTTCCAGGATTTAAAAGTTATTCTAAAACTGTAACTAGAAATGATTTAATAAAATTGTTTAAAAAAATGAAATTAGAATTAAAAAATAAATTTCATACTTGTCATATTAGTGTGGCTCTAACTGCCGATGTTTGGAGTGGTAGAGCTAAACAAGATTATATTTGTGTGATTAGTCATTATTTTGATAATGAATTTAAATTAAATAAATCTTTATTAGGATTTAGATTAATGGATATTTGATCATAGTGGTTTAGAAATCTATAAAAATTGTTGAAGTTTTAGAAGATTATGATATTATTATATAAGTGATAA